GATCTTCTCTTCTAGACTGACCCTCAGCTCACCCTCCTGTGGTCCTGCAGTGACCGTAGCGCCACCAACCTCAGGCAGCGGAAGGTCAGCTGTGCCATCTCCCTCTGGATCCAGAGGGGTCTGCTCCTTGGAGGCCAAACTGCGGCCCTCAAGTTCATCCCGCAGAGTGACAACAAGGAGGTCCTTCTCCCGCAAACTCTGCTGCAGCTCTGCAACCACCGCTTGCAGTCCCATCACTTCGGACTCTTTCTCCTTCAGGATGTCTTGCAACTCAGACTCCTTTGTGGGGGTCAACTGGCCGACAGAGGCAGACCTGACTTGCCTTGAAGGATGTGCATCTCCTTCTGCATTTCCACTGTTCTCATTGGGATCCTTGTGCTCTTTGTTCTCCTGGACTGCTGGGGATTTGGTCCCAGGCTCTGCTTGTGCTTCCCTCTTGACTTCCAGCTCCTTCTCCAGTAGACGGACTTTACCAAGCAGCTCCTTCCTGCTGAGGAGGGCAGCTTGGAGCTTTTTCTTCACCAGCTTATTCTCCTTCCTCAGTTTTGCTACCTCCTGGCTGGCAGATGGGAGCTCCTCTGGATGTTGCTCAAGAGGTTCCTCTTCTTCTTCCTTCTCTTTCTCCTCCTTCTCTTCTTCCTCCGTCCCTACGCCCTGGTCTCTGGTCATCTTTTCTTGCATGTACAAGCTCAGTCTCTCCGTCAAGCTCTTCAACTCCTTCCCCAACATGAACTTCTCCTCATTCAACTGGACCATCCGGTCTGACATGCCACGGCTGACTTCCTCCATGCGCTCCTCCCGCTCCACCACGTCCTGCCGGAGACGCTCAACCTCTGCAGAGCTTTCAGAGAGGAGCCCCTCCAACTTGGAGACCTCCTGTCCCTTTGAGGCAAGGTTTTTGGAGAGCTCCTCTGCCTTCCTTTCCCTCTCCTGCAGCTGCCCTGCCAACGCCTGCCTTTCTAGCTCCTGCCTCTCGAGTTGGTCCTTCAAGCTTTTCATGAGCAGGTCCTGTTCTGTGAGGAGGCGCTGGGCCTCGTCCAGGTCCTTCTGCAGAGCGGCAATTTTCACCTCTTTGGAGCTGGCCTCGTTTTGCAGGGTCTCGATTTCCTCCGTCAGCAGGCCCAGCCGGGAGACCCCACTCTCATAGTCGGAGAACCTCCGCTTCTCCGAATCGGCCAAGTCATCCTCCAGTTGCTTCATTTGCTCCTCCATTTTGCCTTTCTCTGAGTGAAGACCTTGCAAAGCCCCTCCAGAGTCCTCTATCTGCTGCTTCAGCCTCCGGATTTCCTCCTCTTTCTCTTCCAAGGCCCTCTTGTGCTGCTCTTCTGCTTCCAATTGCTCCTGCAGCCTCTGGATCTCCTCCAGTTTCTCTCCCAATGTCCTCTTGTGCTGTTCTTCTACCTCCTGCTGCCTTCTCTGCAGCTCAACTATTTCAATGTGCAAAGCTGAGGCAGGTGTAAGTTCCTGGGCTGCATCCCTCCCTTCCGTGCAGAGGCCATCTTCCTGGATGTCTACCGTAACCAGCGAACTACTACTGGAATCGCTCTGGGTGGGCCCCGCAGCCCCTTCAACCCCTTCAACCCCTCTGTCCTTCTCCTCTTCCTCAGCCTGAGACCGTCCCACTGCCTCCGCAGCCCCATCCGGGTCCAGATGTTGGGGGTCCTGGAGCTGCCCCTTGAGAAAGGCTATTTCCTCTTGGGCCTCTTGGAGCTCCACCAGCAGCACTGAGAGGTCCCTCTGCTTCTTTGCAGTGAGGTATTCCAAGACGTCAGGCTGCCCATTCTCGGTGGCAAGCGGAGGATCCTCAGGGCTGCTGAGCAGATGGGCCTGGAAGGAGGCAAGAACAGCGTCAGTCCCTGCAGACAAACATCTCTCAATACACGACAAGCACATCATTAAGAATAGTTGGGATTATTTGATGTGACTTTCTTTTCCACAGCATACCTATTTCTGTACTTCTCAGGGAAAGGGTCACGTTTAACGTATTGTGAGGTTCAAAACATCTGGAGGGCCAAAGTTTGCCCATGCCTGCTGTAGAGAAACAGGGGGCAAAGCAAAGCCTGCATGGGGTCACTGGGCATCACTTTCAGGGGTCCTGACCCCGCCGCCATTTACCCCCAAACCACAAATGTGTAAAAACTTTCCAGTTGTTCAGAACCATACACAGTGTTTCTTCACTTTTCAAGGGTGTTACGTTCCAGGACCACCCATGAAAAGTGAAAATCCTTTCCAACAGACCTCACAACCTCTGAGGATGCTTGCCATAGATGCAGGTGAAACATCAGGAGAGAATGCCTCTAGAACATGGCCATATATCCCGAAAAAACCTACAACAACCCAGTAATTCTGGCCATCAAAGCCTTTGACAATACAGTACCTACTTTTCCCCCCCGAAAGCGACTGCCCAAGCAAAGGACATAATCCCCAGGATTAGTGTTTCTGAGTCGACACAATCAACTCTGCCCACGGATCTGTTGTCATTCCGATTTCAAATCTCCTTGTCTGAGGCTTGGTCTTAAAGGCTAAATTCTGCTAAGCGGTCCTGTCAGTGGCATGAGAAGCGGCCTGGCAAGGTTACAACCTTCAGATGGATGAGCAAGAAGGCAAATCCAGCAGATAGAGAAGAAGGGAGTTACTACAGGAAACCATGTCTCTTTTGCCAGGTAGCTAAAGGAAAAGAGGATGTCCTTGCTCTCTCATGGATTTCGGAAAGGGTTGTGGGCAAAATGTTTGTGTTTTTGTTTTGGAATGGCTGCTTTTAAAAACATTTTCAACGCATTATTTACGCTTAGATGTGGATGTTAATAAAATTATTGTACAGACATTTGCAAATCCTATTGTTAGTATTGTCTGTACGAAAGCTTTATGAATATCTGCATCTCAGTGTAAGTTCAGTGTAAATACAAAGTTCTGGAGAGACTTATTTTGCATAGAATTATGGAAAAAATAGACCCCTGTCTGATTCCACAGCAAGCTGGCTTCAGGAAGGGCAAAAGCTGCACATTGCAAGTGAACCTGACTCAGCACATAGAAGATGGCTTTGAAAGGCAGCAGATCACAGGAGCTGTCTTCATAGACCTGTCAGCAGCTTATGATACTGTAAAACACCGCCTCCTCCTGAGAAAAATGTATAATATCACAAAGGACGACCACCTCACCCGTCTCATAGGAAACCTGCTACAAAACAGGAGCTTTTTTGTTGAGTTCCAGAGCCAGAGAAGAAGATGGCAGAAGCAGAAGAACGGCCTGCCTCAGGGGAGCGTGCTTGCTCCATCCATGTTCAACATCTACACATATGACCAGCCACTGCCAGAAGGGACAGAGAGTTTCACCTATGCTGATGATCGTGCCATCACCGCTCAAGCAGGGAGCTTTGAGACTGTAGAACAGAAGCTCTCTGAAGCTCTAGGTGCTCTTACTGCCTACTACAGGGAAAACCAGCTGATCCCTAATCCATCTAAAACACAGACATGTGGTTTTCATCTCAAGAACAGAGAAGCATCCCAAGCTCTGAGAATCACCTGGGAAGGAATCCCACTGGAGCATTGCAGCGCACCCAAATACCTGGGAGTCACTCTGGACCGTGCTCTGACCTACAAGAAGCACTGCCTGAACATCAAGCAAAAAGTGGGCGCTAGAAATAATATCATATGAAAGCTGACTGGCACAACCTGGGGATCACAACCAGACACAGTGAAGACATCTGCCCTTGCGCTGTGCTACTCTGCTGCTGAGTATGCATGCCCAGTGTGGAACACATCTCACCACACTAAAACAGTGGATGTGGCTCTTAATGAGACATGCCGCATTATCACGGGGTGTCTGCGCCCTACACCACTGGAGAAATGACACTGCTTAGCCGGTATTGCACCACCTGACATCCGCCGGGAAGTAGCGGCCAGTAGTGAAAGAACCAAGGCAGGGACATCTCTGGCCTATCCTCTGTTTGGGTATCAGCCAGCACGTCAACGACTTAAATCAAGAAATAGTTTTCTAAGATCTACA